ATTTATAATGTATATAATTATACAGTTATACAAAATATTATATACAAAATACAAATGATTATAATTTATATTTTCTATGAAAAATGTAGTCAGTAGTACTTTGCACAGATGAAAACTTGAGTGGTGCTACCTGCAATCCCTATGAATTTTTAAATGTAGCATCGATCCACAAGTCTCTGCTAGAAACATAGTGGAGCTACGTAGCACATGCTATTTATAGTGGTGCTAAGCACAGCTCTGATATTATTATTAGATTTTGAAAAAAATGGAGGGATAAAGGTAGGACCTACTTATACAACATTAAAAAATATAGTTATGAATTTCTGAAAAAAGGAGGGTTTTCTAGTGTTTGAATGGGTACCTAAAATCCTACTCGGATGGGTAATTCGGGCAGATTTCCGGGTGCCCAAAAAATTTCTGACCCCTATCAACACCGTAGTTTCTAATATGGAGAAGACAAGACAATATGAACCATGATGCCACCACACAGTTTAAGTATACTTTGTATGCAATTTTGTTTTTGTTTTTTTTTAGCAAAAGCATATCTAAACCTGCTGATGATAAAATGTTATGAATGTTTGGATGGAAAAGTAAAATAAAACAGTAAATGATATGATTATAAATAAAAGATGAAAACAATGTTAACCCCAAAACTTTTTGTGGCTATCATGTATACTATAGCATAGGCATGCAAAGAATAAAATGCTTTTTGTATTACTATTCTGCATGAGGTACTGAAACATTCAAACAAACATCTCTTCATTTTTTTAACTTTTCCTCAATTAGTAATAAGCACTGATTTATTGGTCATGAATATAAAAGTATATCAAAGTATAAAAGTTCCAACTGCTTCTTCTATTGGATACCATTAACTTATTTGTAACTGGTAGTGAAACAAAGTAATCTTTAACTGTTCACCTTGACTGACTGTCATTACACAATACCCATGCTGCGCAGACAATACTTGTACATGACAACGACAAGTTGTACATACAGATGTTACGCCATTTACAGCTAACTATCATTATTACACACACATTGAGAGATTACAGGACCGCAGAGTGTGCCTGCACTATCAGAAAAGTTAGCACAATTGATGGGTGGAGCTTACCTCAAATATTTCAATGACAAAACTTTGATAATTCTCTATTAAGATTAGTGTGTGAGTTTCTTACTTAAATTGCAGTGAAGTGAAACAATGACTCTATGGAAACAATGACCGCATCCTAATACCTTGATTTCTGATGAGTAGCAGCTAGCTACAGTTGAAACAAGTTAAACTAGTTATACAAAAATGTATAAACTTTTGGAAGATCATATTTATATTGATTCAATAATTTACATTATTTACTATTACAAATCACACAGTCATCAGGTTTGAAAGTTTCCTATGAGTGTTAGGCCTCATTTCTGTCCTCGAATGTCAATCGTGCCCTGCTACAAAATGGCGGTAACCACGAACCAACTGCACGTAGTGAATTAGCCAATAATCATTTAACAAAAGAAAATTTTAAATGGACTATTCAAAATTTGCTGCTTACTTATTTAATTGATGCTTTTTCTCCTATATTCATTATTGTCAGTTGAAGAGGTAAAAGTTAGTATGGTATATGCAAATTTTAAGAATATAATGAACGGTTGAATAACTTGATTTTATAAGGTACCCAAGGGTTTTTGTACACTGTTAAAATTAAAGATCAATGACTTGCTAATCAATGTTGCTGGCCTGCCACTAGAATTTAATCAGTTTCTTCACTGATTGCTTCCACTTTTGTCTTCACTCTCTGTGTCGTGACTTTTTTTGCTTGTTTCCGATTTTTGCTTACTGTTTTCTCTTAAAAATAGTAGTTTGTCTGCATTTCTGTTTACATTGTCTTGACTTAAACTTTCCATGACGTTTTTTTTTTTAAGAACCAGGTAACAGTTGTGATGGGTGGGTACCTGGTGAAAAAACTAGTTTCTAGCCCTCTGCCCCTAGATTCACATTTATTTTTACAACATTAAATAAATAAGTTATAATCATAAATTTGAAACATAACACTATGTAAAAAAACATTAAATTTGCACTTTATTTAACACAGTAATGAGTAATGTAATTTGATAGCGTAACCTGAGCTGCACATTTACTGAATGATTAACAACTTATAATGGCACAGACAGTAGTTAGACATGGTTCAAAGGGCAATAAAACAATAAAATTTAATTATATATCGATGTATACTGTTACGAGCTGAAAGCTACTGAGGATAAACAAATGTAGTTACATGTTACAATGCAAAGTCATTCTAGAAAGGAAAAAAAGGAGTAATTTAAATTTTTTTCAGTGGTTAGGAGATCTGCCAAATTGACAGATTCTGTATAGAGATAGGGTAGAGTAAATAACAGATAGAATATAAATGTTTACTAAAAAAAAAGTATTTGAAATGTATTTAGGAAGTTTTAGGGATTACACAAAGGAAATTTGAGATTTTTGAGATGAAGAAAAGTATTTTTAATACTAACATGAAATTTAATTTGCACATGGACTATTAAAAAGAAATACTCAATATATTCATGAACAAACCTTTATTTTAGTTTATTAAAAATACTTCACTGAAAAGTATGATTTTTTTGTATGTGAAAGGCTTATAATGTTAACTTAAAGACTGCCAAATATTAAGCTTTGTGCTTAACAACAACAACATAACATAATGGCAATATTTCAATTGCTTGGATAGTTCATTATTTTCTTGAAAGTTGATTTAATTGTAATTTCAGTTAATTGATTGTTGGAATAATTAAAATCATTAGTAATCAGAAACACTAATTTTGATTAGTTAGTTATTTTTGTTTCAATCAATTTAATAGTAGTTTTGATTAATTCATTGTTGGAATAATTGGAAACAATTACTTAAATTAGTTGTTTAACTGATTGTTGAGATAATCTGAAAAAGTAATAATGTAATGGTAAATACTAATTTTGATTAGTAGATAAATTTTGTCACACTAATAAATTTGATTGTAATTTCATTAAATTGATTATTTTATGTGACACTAACTGTTGTAATAGCTGCTTATATGTAATTGATTATATAGACTAATAAATTAAATCACACGACGTTAGTGCAGAGAATATGCTGCTATCGTGGATTTTATTTTTTGAACACTTACAGCCCTCCATATTCTGGGACTTGTATGATTCTGAACCACTAAACTATTAATTTTGGAGAAAAAAAGCAATAACACTGTTTCTAGTCAAGGGAATCTGCCCTAACCATGATAAAATAATATATAACATATTGATAAACAGTTTCATTCTGTCTGAATCATGGAATATATATATTTAACTTGCATATGGATCTTTTCAACTGGAACTTAAGTACTGATATTAGTTAACATTTCTAAGAGGACAAAACGTTTTTTATTGATAATCAATCACTTAAAGTAAGAAGATATCTCTGAGAATTATCCAGGAAAAACAGTTGATTTTAGATTTTGTCTATTGTAAACCTTTCTTTTGAACATATTTTGTTAACTACATTTTATGTTTTCAGCACTCTCTCAATCCAGGGAGAAATGTTTCTACAAAGTGTTAAATGAATAAAACGTTATTATAGTTATTTTGTTTAGCTTTAATATGATTTTATATTGAGATTTGTGTTGATTGTATTGGAACATTAACTTGTATTTAGAAGTTCATCAAATAAAGTAATATATGTGATATATTTATTAACTGTGTTTGTTTTATCATTTATATCAATTTTAGATATAAAGACTGGTGTGAACATCTGTTATGGAAGTCAGTTTCCTGTTTATCAAGTTGTAAGACAAGATCACTTTACAGAAGTCATAAAGTCCCCAAAACCAAACGATGTGTGTGGAAAAACAAATTTATATGGAAATAACCTAAAAGAATGCGATATACATCAAGACAGTGATAAACCATACATCTGTGAAGAAGAATTTCAAACAGTGGATAACCTAAAACAACATGAGTGGATAAACACTGGAGAGAAACTATACAGTTGTGTAGTGTGTAGAAAAGATTTTGGCACAAATAGTAACTTAAAAATACACAAAAGAATTCACACTGGGGAGAAACCTTACAGTTGTGTAGTTTGTGGAAAACAATTTAGAACAAGTAGTACTTTGAAAATACATCATAGGACACACACTGGAGAGAAACCTTACAGTTGTATAGCGTGTGGGAAACACTTTGGAACAAATAGTGAATTAAAAATGCATCAAAGAATACATACTGGGGAGAAACCTTACAGCTGTGCAGTTTGTAGAAAACAATTTCGGACAAATGGTACTTTGAAAATACATCAAAGAACACACACTGGGGAGAAACCTTACGGTTGTATAGTGTGTGGGAAACACTTTGGAACAAGTAGTGAATTAAAAATGCATCAAAGAATACACACTGGAGAGAAACCATATTGTTGTATAGTATGTGGAAAAGAATTTGGAATTGTTGGTAACCTAAAACAACATGAAAGGATACACACTGCAGAGAAACCATATGGTTGTATGGTGTGTGGGAAAAAATTGGAACAATGGGTAACCTAAAACAACATCAGAAGACACATACTACAGAGAAACCATATAAGTGTGCAGTGTGTGGAAAAGGATTTGGAACAGTGGGTAACTTAAAACAACATGAGAGAATACACACTGGAAAGAAACCTTACAGTTGTACAGTTTGTGGAAAACACTTTGGAACAAGTGGTGAATTAAAAATACATCAAAGAATACACACTGGAGAGAAACCCTACTGTTGTGCAATTTGTGGAAAAGACTTTAGCACAAATAGTAAATTAAAAGCACATCAGAAGATACACACTGGAGAGAAACCTTACAGTTGTATAGTGTGTGGAAAACACTTTGGAAGAAATAATGAATTTAAACTGCATCAGAGAATACACACTGGGGAGAAACCTTACAACTGTACAGTCTGTGGAAAATTTTTTCGAAGAAATAGTAAATTAAAATTACATCAAAGAATACACACAGGGGAGAAACCTTACAGTTGTGCAATTTGTGAAAAACAATTTCAAACAAATAGTCAGTTAAAAATTCATCAAAGAACACACACTGGGGAGAAATCTTACAGTTGTGTAGTTTGTGAAAAACAATTTCAAACAAACAGTCAATTAAAAAAACATCAAAGAATACACACTGGGGAGAAATCTTACAGTTGTGTGGTTTGTGAAAAATGGTTTCAAACAAATGGTCAATTTAGAATGCATCAAAGAACACACAGTGGTGAGAAACCTTACAGTTGTACAGTGTGTGGAAAACACTTTTTAACAAATGGTGATTTAAAGGTGCATCAGAGAATACATACTGGGGAGAAACCTTACAGTTGTGCAGATTGTGGAGAACAATTTGGAACAAGTAGTAAATTAAAAATACATAAAAGAATACACACTGGTGAGAAACCTTACTGTTGTACAGTTTGTGGAAAAGACTTTGGAACAAATAGTAAATTAAAAATGCATCAGAGGACACACACTGGAGAGAAACCTTACAGTTGTGCTGTTTGTGAAAATCACTTTCGAACAAATAGTCAATTAAAAATACATCAGAGAATACACACCGGGGAGAAACCTTACTGTTGTGCAGTTTGTGGAAAAAACTTTAGAACAAATAGTAAATTGAAAGTGCATCAGAGGATACACACTGGAGTGAAACCCTACAGTTGTGCAATTTGTGGCAAACAATTTGGAAGTAATGCTTGCTTAAAAATACATCAAAGAATACACACCGGGGAGAAACCTTTCACCTGTGAAGTTTGTGACAAACAATTTGGAAGTAACTCTTATTTAAAAATCCACCAAAGAATACACACTGGGCAGAAACCTTACTGTTGTACAGTTTGTGGAAAAGACTTTGGAACAAATAGTAGATTAAAAATGCATCAGAGGACACACACTGGAGAGAAACCTTATAATTGTGCCGTTTGTGAAAATCACTTTAGAACAAATAGTCAATTAAAAATACATCAGAGAATACACACTGGTGAGAAACCTTACTGTTGTGCAGTTTGTGGAAAAAACTTTAGAACAAATAGTAAATTAAAAGTGCATCAGAGGATACACACTGGGGTGAAACCCTACAGTTGTGCAGTTTGTGGCAAACATCTTGGAAGTAATGCTTACTTAAAAATACATCAAAGAATACACACTGGAGAGAAACCTTTCAGCTGTGAAGTTTGTGATAAACAATTTGGAAGTAACTCTTATTTAAAAATACATCAAAGGATACACACTGGGCAGAAACCTTAAAGTTGTGGAGTTTATGGAAAACAATTTGGAAGTAACTCTTACTTAAAAAGAATAAACACTAAAGAGAAATTATGCATTTGTGGAAACTATCTATGACAAATAGTTCCTTAAAAATGCATCATAAAGTATGCTCTTGTGAGAAGCCATATAATTGTTCTTTGTATGCTAAACAATTTGTAACAAAGGGCAAGATTAAAAGCCATCGTATTGTACATACTGAAAAAAAAACTTACATTTGTATAGTGTGTGAAATATTTATTGGAAATAATGGGGACCATAGAAAACAAAGGAAGATTCACTCTGTGGAGTAACTATACAATGGATTACGTTGAAAAACTGTGTAATTAATTATAACTTAAAAATACAGGAGAAGGAATATTCCAGTCCCATATCTGGAAAAGATCTCTGGTAAATGGTTATCAAAGTACTTTGGAGTACAATATTCATGTAGTGTATACCAACTAATATTGAAAGTGCAGTATATCAAACTTTTCAATTTTGGTCCTTAAATTGATAAAGAAGTAAGATAGTCACCAAACATGCTGTAACACAATCTACAATATCTGTTAATCTGCTCGCAATAGATTGATTATCTACAGAATACACAATAAGGGGTTATATCTTAGTTCCATTGTTTATTTTTTCTCTGATAAGCTAATCATTCATTGGGATTTTAAATTAAAAATGTTGTCATTATTTCTCTACTTTACTTTATCCCAGACTTAAGGTTGATTGTTTTGGGTCACCTATTATACACCTTTATTTGAATCTTTGGTCAAATACTTGTGGTGCTGGTAATTCTAAAGTGGTTACACAGGTTTGACTTCTCTACTTGAATCTTGATTCAACTACTTATGAATATTGTTATATTGATTTGACTTCTCCACTTGGTACTTGATTCAGCTACTTCTGAAAGTGATTACACTAGGTTGACTCCTTTACTTAGATTTTGATTAACTATTACTGAATGTTGGGTTGACTTCTCTTCACAGTTCTTTCAACTAATTCTGAATATCTTTCCATTGGGTTCACTTCTTTATTTTGGTCTTGATTCAACTTCTGAATGTTGTTACATTGAATTGACTTCTAACTTGGATCTTGAATCATCTACTGAATGTGGTTACAATAGGCTCCCTTCTCTCCTTGGATCTTGATTCAACTACTTCTGAGTGTTATTACATTGGATTGACTTCTGCTTAGGTCTTAATTCAACTACTTCTGAAGATGGTTACACTGGGTGGACTTCTTTACTTGCATCTTTATTCATCTACTACTGAATGTTATTAAACTGGGTTAACTTGTCTGCTTCAGTCATGATTCAAGTATTTCTGAATGTATAGAATTATACATGGACTGTTCTTTACATTAAAATACTATTTATTTGCGAACTTTTGGCCCTCTTACCAGTCTTCATCGGGCAACAGTGAACTGAAACAAACTTGTATTGCTCAGTACTGTGATGCCCGATGAAGGCACCAGGAAGAAAGCCAAAAGCTCGTGAATAAAAGTATTTTAATGTAGAGACCAAATCTATATATAATTCTACATATTGATTTACCTACATTATTAGTCTTGCAAAACAATTTCTAAATGTGGTTGTATTGGGGTAACACGTTGCATCATGTATATATGTTGAGAAATATCCTTTACTCTTCTAAGATAACTTCAAATACCAAGGTGCATCAATTTGATACACCTACTGTATTCTTTTATTGCATTAAAATATACTACATAAAATATTTTGGAATATTAGATGAACTCTAAAGATGTGTTTCTAAATTCACAGCTTGGAAAACATTTGTAATATATTTTGTTTTGAATAAACAAAATGCTTAAGCTTGTTGTATATTTTACTTACTGATGATTTTTTTTGATTGATCAGGAAACAAAGCACACATTTTCACTGTGTTTACTAGTCCTGGCATATAATAAAAACATCTTTTTATTAGGCCCAGCATGGCCAGGTGGTTAGGGCACTTGACTCACAATCTGAGGGTTGCAGGGTTGAATCCCCATCATATCAAACATGCTCGCCCTTTCAGCTCTGGGGACAATATTATGTGATTATCAATCCCACAGTTTGTTGGTAAGAGAGTAGCCCATGAGTTAGCAGTGGGTGGTGGTGAATAGCTAGTGCAGATAGCTGTCATGTAGCTTTGCATGAAATTCAAAACAAATAAAACAAAACATTTTACTATACCATAATTATAATCAAACCATTTTTCTTAAATTGTTAATGAAAAGATTTCATTAACACCAAGTCTGCAGTTTGGTGAGACAAATTTGGGGGATTGGATGGGTTACAGAGGAATATCACCATATGAGCCAAAAACAACATTACTTCTGCTGTTGTTGCTTATCTTTCAAACAGTGTATTAACTCCTGAAACCAAAGAAAGCAGATATTGTCCAACATGGGGCCACTGCTGTTTTGTGTGGGAGTTTGTATGGAAATATGTATTTTATATATTCATAGCCTGGAAAATAGCTCGAGTTTGACCACTGGTGGGTAATACAAACAACAGATATTGCAAGGATTCAGAATTATATGTCAAAAAACTACAGAAAACTGTTTTGGAACCAATCTACTAAAACTATCAATGACTTGGAGTTAACCTTTTGGATACGAGCCTGCCAAAACTGGGTCAGTTTGACTGATATTAAACTAAATGATACAAAACTCTACTTCCTATAACTAAATATTTACTGAATTTATCTTACTGAAATTTGGCAAGCTTTTAGTAATGTTAAGTCTGTTATGTACCGAAAATCAGATTTTTTAAATAAAGTATTTTTTACTAAGGATTTGTATGTGAATTCCCAGTCATAATAATAATTGTTTTGATCTTATAATTTTAATTAAATTTTGTTTGCATAACCTCTGGAATTTCCCAAATGATTTCCAAAGTTTTTTCATTGAACTTCATATTTTATCTCATCATGTACAGTGAAATTAAAAGTTAAAAATAATGAAATAAAATGAGTTATTCGAACTGGTGTATTTAAGTGTTTTACACTCGCAAAAAAGAAACCTATCATTCTATAGGTATTTGAAGAACTTGTAGCATTTTGCCACAATTTAATTGTCTGTGTAGGCTAACAATAAAACGAATTACACCAGTTCGATTTTCGATATCTCACTACTATAAAGGCTTGGTTTGGTCTGATATTTCATTGGTGGTAGTGTCCAGGGTCACTGATAAGGAGTGGAATTCTCCGAAACTAGTCTGACTCACAGACACACCCCCAATGAAAGAATAGACCATTCCAAGCTTTTAGTTGTTGTTAAACAAATGTTTAAATAACTATTTATTCAAAAATTAGTTATTGTCTTTTTCTTTGAATATGTCATTCATTCATTGCCACATCTTAAATTAAATTTAACCTTTTCACATCTATTTGAATTTTATGGTTTTATTGTTTGGTTTGTTCCACATGAGCAGTTTATTCATCCATGAAAAGCAATACATCACAATGGGGACATATTAACAGATTCTCATATATCGATGAACTGCGTAATGTGAACATATTGCATAGCTTATTAGATCTCAATTGTTTATATTGTTGTTTTTGGTAAGTTCATTGTCCAAATGAAAATTCATGAACCTTTTGAATAAGCATTTTACAACACACAAAATGTATTGGGCACTAGAATATAATGTCTCAAAACTACTATCATTTAACTTGATTTGTAATTAAGCAATAAATATTAAAATACTGTTGTGAGCAACAACTTTGCAACATTATCATTTCCCCTTGACTAATGTTTATTGCTGCCAAATTCTAAAAACAAATGTCATCCATCTTGTGAAAATAGACTTTCCTAGCTACTGGATTATTTAGGCCCTGTAGAAGCTACAATACTACAATTGTGCAGGTCACTTGATTACGCAAGTGATAATTGAGGTTTTTTTAATTAAGAAATTAAATCATATAATGTAAAAGTTTTAATTATATATTATGATTTTAAGCCACATTCATTATCATCATTGATAATAAAACTTCAAATTTTCAGTGTAACTGTAAATGTTTTGACATGTAAACTTATCAAATTGACCAAAGCTTTCTAGAATAGGTTATTTTGAGTAATATTTAGTTTTAAGCTATTTTATGCTCATTTATTTTTTGTTACATTTTTTCTCCATTTAAGTGGTCAACTGGAGTATTAAGTAAGCCTACATCATAAAAACATTTCCTATTAGTAAGTTTTATGATCCAAGTGAAGTATAAATTTATAAAGCAAGCTTTAAAATACAAGACTGTTATTGTTGCAGGAGTTATTCTAGCAACATTTCATCACTTTGTTTTGATCTGTGCAAATCTGCTGAAGTTGAAGTCGTACAGTTGAAATGAATAGATAAAATATTTCATTATGTGTTTAGAAAAAAAACAGTTTCAACTTTCATACTAGAGGGTTATGAATGCTGTATAATGCTCAGAATAAATCTAGGAAATTCACAAAAACTATTATTTTTCTTCAACATGTGCTGAAAAAAAAAAACTTGTATTCATTTCAGTGGTTAAAGAAATGAGTGCTGTCCAGTGAGTAGCCTACAAGACTGTGGATCCATCAAAGAAACTTGCATTCTGCACCTTAGGCCTCTATGTGCATTGTAAATGTGATGCTCAAATCCTACTATTCAGTTAGAGTAGCCCAAAAGTTGAAGGTGGGTGGTGTTTACTAGGTGGCTTCTCTCACTTAAAAATTAGGGAAAGCTTGCACAGATATTCCTCTGAGTAGAAATTCAACAAACAAACAACAATAATATTAGTACAATGGATACAGAGGGTGGAGTACTTGTAGTGTGTAAAAAGTAATTGGAATTATTAATCACCTTAAAATCATTAAAGCTAAGGAATAAACTGTTAGAAGTATGAAATGTGTGGTTATGATGTACAGCAGTTATTAACAAAAATATTGATTACACCAATTTATATAAATGAAGTATGAATACAAGAATGGTGTATAAATTGTGTTTTACTTGAAACTGAAGTGTTTCACAATTTACATGAATTTATTTTTCTATGTTAAAACTTTTTACCTTTGTAAAAAAAAATCATTAGAGTTTAATTTCTGATATCTTTTTTAGTTACTAGTTGCAAATTATTGATCATACTTCAGGGTAGTCCTGACAAGGAATCCATAGGCTATCAAAACTAGATTCAAGTGTAGGTCTCTTCTCAAAAAGGTACCTAAATTATCTATAGGGTTTGGATAGTCATGTGTTTAACCTTTGTGAGATTAGTTAAGAGTTTGACTTTTTGTGCAGTTTAGTCATGGTTTTCAAATTTTCGATTAGCAAACCAGCTTTGTGTACAGGTTAGCCATGGGTTTCAACCTTTAGATTAGCAAACCAGGTGTGGGTACAGCTTAGTCATGGGTTTCACCTCTGGATTAAGAAACTAATATTGTGGACAGGCTAGTTATAGGTTTTGCCTCTGGCTTAGTATACCATTTTTGTGGATAGAATAGGACTTTTCCTCTGGATTAACAAACTTTCGGAGGTTAAGTTGTTGATGTGTTTTACCTTTAGAGTAGCAAACCAACCTTATGGGCAGATTAACCATGAGTCGCATCTGTTTTAGCAAATTGGTCTTTTGACAAACGAGTCTTGGGTTTGGCCTCTGAAGTAGCAAACCAGTCTTATGAGCAAGTTAACCATGAGTCACCTATACTTTGGACAAGTGAGTCACAGGTTTCACCTCTGGATTGGCAAATCAGTCTTGTGGCCAGTAAAATCATGAGGTTTACCTTCATGAGCAATTTAGTTATGGTTTTCATGTGTGAATGAGTGAGCCAATCTTGCTTACAGGTTATTCAAGGGTTTCTTTCACTTGTGGATTAACAAACCAGTTGACTGGGCATGTTATGAATTTATTTCTGGATTAGAAAACAAGTCTGTTAGGTTAATCATAGGTTTCACCTCTAGATTATCATACCAGTCTTCTAGGTAAGTTAGTCATTAGTTTACTCTCTGTATTAACAAACTAATCTTGTGTGCAGGTTATTAATAGGCCCTGTTCTGCATAAACAGGTTATCTTATGGGCAGGTTTTTTTAGTGATTTGGCTGCGGATTACCAAACCAGTCTTCTAGACAACTTGGCAATGAATTTCACCTCTAATAGTAAATCAGTCTTTTACATTAGGAATAGCAGGTTGATTATGGGTTTCACCTCTGGATTAGAAAACCAGCCTTGTGGGCAGGTTATTCATGAGTTTTGCCTTTCTACTACAAAAATATTTTTGTGAGTAGGTTATGGATTTCAAATCTGGATTATTAAACCAGTCTTGGAGGCTAGTTAGTCATGGATTTCACTTCTGAAATATTAAAATAATATTGTGCACAGGTCAGACATGGGGATCGCCTCTAAATTAGCAGACCAGCCTTCTGGGCAGGTTGATCATAAATTTCACCTCTGGACTAGCAACCTACTCTTGTGGACAGGGTATTCATGGGTTTCACCTCTACATGAGTATACCAGTTTTAAATAAGCAGGTGTCATGGGTTTGTATTCTGCAAAAGAGTCTTATGTGCAGGTTAGTCATGGGTTTCATCCCTGGTTTAGGAAACCTGTCTTGCAGGCAGGTTGGTCATTGATTTTGCCTCTGCATTAACAAACCATTTTTATGAGTAGGTTTGTTATGGGTTTCACTTCAGGATTAATATATCAGTCTTGTGGGCAGGCTAGTCATAGGTTTAGCCTCTGGGTTAGTAAACCAGTTTTGTGAGCAGGTTAGGCATGGGTTTCACCCTTGGATTAGCCAAAGAAATTGTTTCTGGTTATTAAAAACAATTCTTAGTTTGCAGTTTTCTTAATTTTAATATACTCTGTTTCTGGACCCACAGCATCACTACCTACAACGCTGCTGGTTGTATCTCTTTCATTGTTGATGTAAAACTGAACAACTTTCAGGATAATGAGCTTCAGTTGTTAGTTTTTCTACTGACAATGCTGAAGAGCCTGTCATCAGTTTTTTGCACTGTATTTCACTCATGTCAATATAATTTTTTTTTTTTGCTGCTGCTTATCTTATCTTTGCTGGTTATGATGGAAATTATGCCAACCTATATGAAACTGGTTATCATGGATGGTCAGATTAAAGATTTGGGAGGGCTGGAGCAAATTTGCAGGAGGTCCTCAGAACTGAACTTCGTGAATAAGTCGTATACAATTTATTATGATCACTAACTGCAATTTTGGCTATCTGCTGGGAGTCAAACCCCAGTTTTTAGCATTATAAGCCCATAAACTTGAAGCTCTCCCACCAGGGGACGTTTATGAAAGAACAAGCAGTAAGAACATGTTTATTAAAAGTTATCCATTTATGTGAAACTACTAACATCGCTAATTTCATAGTAACACAGTTGCAAACATATCTTTTTAAATGACGGTACACGCATCAGTACTACATTTTACACAGCATAATATTCATAACTGACTATAAAATTGCCAGACGTTACACGCGTCATTCGTTTATTTGTGGCAGTGTAATATTCATAACCAATCTGACTCATCCAAAGTTCATCTTAACTTCTAAAATTTTGTAAATCCAAAGTTAGAAGTATTACGTACAATGTTGAAAATTTCTAACTAAATTAATACAAGCTCGACTTATTACATCACATTTTGACATTTTATAGCTTTAAATTAATTCAAAGTTAGAATAATTACTTCAAATGTTGACACTTTATAACTGTAGATTAATTCAAAATTAGACTTATTTCGTTGGATGTTGACATTTTATAACTCTTAAATTTATCCACTGTTCAATACTACATCAAATATTCATATAACTAAGT